GAAAAGCAATACTTCCACCCAGGATCCTCTGGCAGAACACTCCATATCCAAACTACACCAGATGGTCTCCTCAGCCAGAGTGACCACAGCCCGGCTTTGGGGAACCCCAGTACAGCAGGCACCAGGACAGGTATGAAGCACTCCCACAAATTCCCGAGACAGCCAATGCCACCTTCTCTCTTGCACACTTTCATTTGTATATTTTAAGACCAGGTCTCACTTTGTAAACCAAGCTGGCTCAAACTCACAAAAGTCTGAACGCTTCTGCCTTCTGAGAGATAGGATTACAGGTGTGCATCACCACACCTAGATGTATGCTTATGCTTACCCAAGATTCCCAAAGCTGGAGGGTCACATATTGTATCTTTATGCACTCCATCTCCACTCTACTCCGCTAAGAACCTGTTTTACAATCCCATCTTCACCCTCCTTAGCATTTCCCAAACATCACTCTCCGCTCTCCAATGCTATCTTTCCTAGCATGTTTAGAAACTGAATCCTCTCTCACCTGCAGGCTGACAACTAATATTCAGCATATTCCTGTCCTTGGGCTATTATCTCTATAACATGATGGCATTAACCAGCTAAGATTGATGTTAATTTTTTTTTTTTTTTTGCCAGAAGCTGTAACATCTCTACTGACAAGAAACTAGTGTAGACAAGATTAAAACCAGCGTGAGAAAAACTACCTACAGATAAGAAAATAAACAAAAGCCCACCATGATCCTAAGCACAAAGTGAGCACTCCGGTATGTACTGAACAAATGAATAAGCATGTGTGTAAGGCTTGTTAAAAGATAAATAACGGGCTAGAGAGATGGCTCAGTGGTTATGAGCACTGGACACTCTTCCAGAGGACCTGGCTTCTGCTCGCAGGACCCACACTCAGGCCATCCTTTATCCAGATCATCCTCTTCCTTTCTGGCAGACAGGGCCTTAAAGGGTCTGTGATCTCATGGAGAGTATTAAGAGGAAGAGCAGTAGACAAAACAAGAATGCAGTCCTCCTGACTGGGAGACGGCTCAGCAGTTAGAGCACTTGCTGCTCTTTCAGAGGCTTCCTGTTTGGTTCTCAGCACCCACACCAGAGGCTCACGCTGGCTGTAGCTCCAGCTCCAGGGAGGTTATCTCTCATGGCCTCTTCTGTCCTCTGTGGGCACTGAACTCATATGGTATACATGCAACACAAGACACACCCACATACAATAAAACACACAATAAGTCTTTAAAAAATATGATAATCCTATGTTGATTCTCTCCTTCCTAAATTAAAAATCAAAACAGAAAATATAAAAGCCTAGAATAAAATTTTTTTATATGGGATTTCACACTATAGCCCAGGCTGGCCCCCAAACTTGTAGCAATTCTCTTGCCTCAGTCTCCTGAGTGCTGAAAGTACAGGTGTGATATCTAGAATGCTTTTTAATGAGATAGATTACCTTTTAAATTTTTTATTTAATTTATGTGTATGGAGGTTTGCCTGCCTTGTGTGTATTTGCACCATATGCGTCTAAGCCCGAGGAGGCCAGAAGAAGGTATCAGATTCCCTGGACTTGGAGTTATAGATGGCTGTTCTATGTATGTGAGTGTACTTTGTTCAGCTATAACTTTTATGAGAGCTGAATACGTATCAAATATTTCAAATGACTAGTTAACAAATACCAGATGCTTTCTATCACTACAACAAAATACTCAAAAGCATAGAGACCTGAGTGCAGTGCCTGGAACTCACATAAAGGTGGTGAAGAGAACCCCAAAGAGTTGCCTTCTGGGTTCCACATATGGGTGCACCCATCACACACAGCAACCACACAGCAATAATGATAATGAATGAGGGCCAGCGAGGAGGCCCAGCAAATACAGTGCTTGCTGCATACGGCTGATGACCTGAGTTCAATCCCCAGGCCCCTCAGTGAGAGGGGAGAACCAATTCCCAAAAGTTGTCCTTTGATCCCACCACACCTGCTCGCTCACTCTTTCTCTCTTTTCTCCCTCTCTCCCTCTCTTCCCTCTCTCCGTCTCTCACACACACAAATTAATTGATTAAAAATAGTAAAGTCTTAAAGAATTTAAATGTGCCACTAATGTTTGAATGGTTGTATGTGGAAATGATCACATCCTGGATATATTAGAGTTAACAAAATATATTACCCAAATTGATGTCACATGCCTCTTTTTACATTAAAATTTTATTACATTTCTCTCTAGGGGGAGGGAGTCACATTTGTGCCACAGTACGTGTGTGGAGGTCGGGGGACAACCTGCAGGAATCCGTTCTCTCCTTCCATCAGGTGGGTCCAAGTACTGAACTCAGATTGTCAAGCTTGGCAGCAAGTGCCTCTGGGCCATCTCAGCATCTCTCTTCTGACATTTTTTGTTGTGACTCTTAGAAAATGTGAGCTCGTGCATGTGGCCCTCGGTGTATTTTAATTGGATGACACAGATATGGACCTCAGAACTATCTATAACCTGTGCTCTGAATGGGTACTGAGGTGGGCTTACCTGTGAGCCCTGGAGTGCTGACTCCACCTTACCCTTTGACCCCCTGCCTGCCCCCAGACTCCTGCCCATGGGAGCAAGATTAGACAAGACAGGCCTCGATGGCATTCACGAGAGCAGAGTCATGAATTTGTTTCTCAGGACCAGACAGGTGACCTACTGGGGGAAGAACTGGAAGAGAAGCTGCAAGCTGCCATCAAGGGTTTTAGTAAAGTCAATGCACAAGAGGGAAATATCTCCACACAACTGGGTCACTGCGTGACACCTCTGTCCAGTCTGTGGACTCGATGGTCCTTGTCGGACCTCTTCCGCTGCTGCTTTGCTCCGAGGGTGGAAAGGCCCCCATTCAAGTCAGCCCAAAAGTTAGGGCAACGCATTAAGTATACTGACACCCACTAGGGTACACCTTCTCATGACTTTAGGTGCCAGAAATATATATCTTCAGGTGGGAACCGGTCCTTCCTCCAGGAAGCACACAGCCAGGACCTGTCCCGGGACATCCAGGCATCGCTTTGCCAGCCCTAGAAACTTCTTCGGGCAGCCTGTGATTGACTAGCCTTGGTTGTCAGCTTGACTGGATCTGAAATCAAAGGCAAGCTGCTGGGCACACCTGTGAGGGTTGGCTTTGACTTTCTTATTTGAAGTGGGAAAGACCCACCCTACCTTCCAATGACAGATAAAAAGAAAGACCGAGAAAAACCTTGGCCTTTTGCCTGCTTGCCTTCACTCTGGCTGGCAAGTTTCTCAACCCTGTTACTGTGGTGGCCACAGCTCTTTACTGGTATCAAAACCCTGATTCCCCAATCCCCTTCTTCAGGCTTCCAATGTAGACAGAAGACTAGGGGTTCCCCGGGAATCCTCTAGACCTTTGGCACATATTGGGCCTGCTAAGGAACCCACCCATGTGGACTAAACAACTACCAGGTTCTCTGTTTCTTGGTGTGAAGACAGCCAACTTGGACTTTTCAGGTCATATCCTGTAAGCCAATCTAATAAACACCATTTTAAAGTATATACATCCCTTCACTTCTGTTCCTCTAGCGAGACTTAACACATGCCAGAAAGCATTCTCTCCCATGACAGGAATCAGAACTCTCACAATCCCCCTCTCCTGTAACCCCTGTGGCTTCTGTTTGCTATATAAAATCAATTGTTCCAGAAAGGACTCCAAAGATGCCTCTGATTGGCCTGCTGGGCAGAGAAAAAGCTGCAGGAGATGAGGGGAGGAAAATGCCCTTTGCTGGCCAACTCTGAGCCACGGCACCGACTTGGGCAGATCAGCAGCAAAGTGGAGAGAAGGGCAGAGGGGACAAGAGAGGCTTAAGAACAAGGAGGGGACGCAAGCGCCCAAATCTCAAGGCTTGCTCAGGAAAGGGGGAGCGAGCTGCCTGAGGGACCGATCTGCTTTCATCCCAGAAGTGCAAACTGCCAAATGCTCATCGGTGTGAGTTAACCATCCAAAGTCCCTGGAGCCTGGAGAGACAGCTCAGTGGTTAGGACCGCATTCTGCCCTTGTAGAGGACCAGAGTTCAGTGCCCAGCCACTGTGGTCAGGTGGCTCACAACCTCCTATAACTCCAGCTCCAGGGGAGCCAACGGCCTCCTCTGCCTCCGCTGACACCTGCACTCACATATACACACACCTACGCATCATTGGAAATTTAAAATTGTATTAAAAAGTCATACTTATATCCAAGTTTATCAGTCTTGGCAAAACATAGTTATGAAGAAAAGCATTTTCATATTTTACTAATTAATACTGCTCGCCATTAAAAAGTACCAATAGTTTACTCAAATAGGGAAGTGAATTGTTAATGCTTCCAGAGAGATGGCGTGCCTTTGGGCAAACTAACAAAACTATTGGTAAGCAAGAGGATTAATAGCTGGACTGGGTGGAGTGTCCTTTAATCTAGTTTTTACTTCCTGACCCTAAGGGAGATCTTGATCTGTGGGGGGAAATCTCTACTCATTCACTCCTGGAATAATTGGGGCTCTTTCAGTACCCTTGATGCATGGCATTCGTTTGGAGACACTCGCCTGAGGGAGTGACTGGGGATTTGTTTTAAGAAAGAAAGGAACACACAAAGATGGGGGGGGGGGGGATCCACAACTGGACAGAGAAAAAGCAGTCAAAAAAGACCTGAGCCACAGAATGACAGGCTGCCTCTGAAAGGGGGGAACTGCAGGGGAGGAGCCAGCGACGAGGGTGGAAAGACATGGGGCTGGGAAAGGATGTGCGTCCTGAGGCTTCTCAGCTTCATGTGTGGTCAGAGAGACAGGCAGAGGAGGAAGACAGCTGTGAACTTCATGGGAAGGGACAGGAGCCAAAGAGCAGTAGGTATGACTGCCTCTAGATCTGGCCTTGAACCCGCTGCCACCCTCCCTCACACCCATCAGGTGAGCTCATTAAGGCAGCTCAACACCCATTCTTGCTTCTGCTCTGTGCACCCACCCTATTCCCCAAGCCCCACCCAAAGATCTCTCCCAAGGTTCTCTCTGGAGACCTCTCTTTGCTCCAGCCCATCTTCAGCGCCCACCCTTCTCAACTCAAAGCTACGCACAGCTCCACACCCACGGCATCCCCTAGCCATAGGGAGGCGCTTCCTAGAATGTTGCCCTCAGCTGGTGGTGAGTGCATGTCCAGTCGGCAGAACAGACTCCCCAGGGCAAGTTCAAAGAAGCCGACATTCCTCATGATTCCAGCTTGGTGCTGAGACTTGAGACTCGGTGCTCCTTGAATACTTGTGGACTGAGCCGTCTTCACCTCAGTGTGCCCGCAGGGCCACCTGGCAGTCCACGAGAAAATTAAACGGCGTTTTTTGGAAGCTGGCTGGGCTGTGGTCATCTCCCAGACTCTCGCGCCCCCTACCGGCCAGGAGGGAACCTGCATGCAGGACAAAGTTGGCCAGTGGATGGAGAGCAGTCCTGATACAGGGCTGTCTGGCCTCACTCCGGGGTCCAGTTCGGTCCACGCGCGTCTGCGGCATTGACCCTGAGCTCATACGCACGGCCAGGTCTACTGCAGGACCCCGCGAGGCCCCGCGGGGCGTGCTTAGAGTTTCTCATCCAGCTCTAAGCCACCGTTCTCCCAGGTGCCTCCGTGCATCATGGCAGGGCTGCCCCGGGGGGTTCTGTTCAGGTAGTTCTGGATGGCCGAGGCGCAGTCCAACCGCTCCATGGAGGTCATGAGGTAGTGAAGCTCCTGCAGGCTGCCATTCTGTTCCTCAAACAGCTCCAGGATGGCCGCGGCGGGGCTGCGCTGGCAAGACAAGAACCTGTCTCCAAGGGACAGGGGCACAGTGAGAGGAAAGCAGGGAGCAGTATGAGACCTACCCTGCACCACACCCCTGTGCTCTGCTCCCCTTGTGCCTGGGTTCCTCTTACTAAGCTGAAATCTTGCACAAGACAGCCTCTGAGAATGTCCAACCATTTGACATTGTGACAACGCTGTCCTAGTTAGCTTTGTTGTCAGCTGGACACAAGCTACAGTCATCCGGAAGAGGAAACTTGAGCTGAGAAAATGCCCCTATAGATTGCTTGTAGGCAAGTCTTTGGGGGCGTTTTCTTGATTAATGATTGATATGAGAGGGTGCAGCTCACTGTGGGTGATGCCATCCCTGGGCAGATGGTCCTGGGTAGTACAATAAAGAGGCTTGGGCAAGCTATGGGAGCAAGGCAGTGAGCAGCATTCCTCCATGGCCTCTGCATCAGTTCCTGCCCTCCTGCCCCTAGTTTCCTGTCTTGAGTTCCTGCCCTGACTTCCCTTCAGGATGGACTATCATGAATAAACAAATAAACCCTTCCCTACCCAAGCTGCTTTTGGCCATGGTGGGGTTTTGTTTTGGTTTGTTTTGGTTTGGGTTTGGGTTTGGTTTTTCGAGATAGGGTTTCTTTGTGTAGCTTTTGGTCCCTGTCCTGGGTGTCGCTCTGTAGACCATGCTGGCCTCGAACTCGCAGAGATCCGCCTGGCTCTGCCTCCCGAGTGCTGGGATTAAAGGTGTGTGTGCCACCACCGCCCGGCTTGGCCATGGTGTTTTACTACAGCAATAGATAAACAAACTGAGACAGGTGTTACCTACAATTTCACACTCGAGAACCATGTAAATTAAAAACAAAACAGAAAAATCCAAGCTTTAAGAATGCTTATGATTTTGTGTTGTATCACATTCCTAGTTTCTATGATGACCCTCCATTGTTCAGGAACCTTCTAGAGTCTCTTTTACAGTCACCAGCTCCTAACGGCCTCACTCCTCCACCACCTTGTGATGCCCTCTTCCTCTGACCTGTCCTTGCCTCCTCTCATCCTAAGCCTCCTGTCTCCAGGCCCACGTTACGTCACTTTGCATATCCTGTGCCCTGCACCTCAGCTGCTCCCCACAACTGGAATGACTTCTCCACAGCCTCCTCTCTGATGCTCTTTCTGACTCCCCGTTCTGCAGCCCTCTGGCCGTACTCAGCTATCCTTGCTTCAACTGTTGCGTCTCTCTTTTCAGTGTTCCGTAATACTGAATGCACACAAGAGGGCACATGGAAAGCTGCTGTTATTCTCACATTCTCAAAGGCCCTGGCTGTATTTCATTTGTGCTCCTAGGATGTGAAAACATATTTCACTCTTGTGTCCCAGTGCTTAGTGGCACAAAGACAGGCACTTGACAATTGCCTAAACCAGGTCTGCCTCCAAGGTCCGGCTCTAGCTCATCCCTGATGAGGGCCTGCAAGCCCAGACTCTAGGACCTGCGCAGAACCGTTCTTCTGCTGATCCCTTTGTGAGCTCCTTGGCAGGAGCCCCAGCCACTGTGATTGCTAACACTTACCGTGCTAACAAGCGGCAGGCTTCCAGCTACATGTTGTACACACATCATCCTATAATCTGCTTTTCCATGCCTTGGGCCACAGTGTGGCAAGCACTCACTAGTACCAGGGACGCGTCTCATTCCTTGTGAGATATTTATTGCACACCTACTATGAGGCAGACCTCATACAACGGATCTCGGGCTGACGGAATGGGCTTGGCGTCCCGGGGAGAGGGCAAAGTCTTCTAAATCCTGCTGAGGCGCTGGGGCCCTTCTCTTCCACTGCGACACCATCACTACTTCCTTTTCACTTACAAAAGCCACAGGACAGACACGCAGGAGTGTGAACTTGAAGCTGACTTCCAGAGAGAACACACAAAGGCTTCCTCTCTATGCCTACCCAAGGAATGACCTGGAACCATGAGCTTGGCCAGGCTCAGACACACAGACGGGCTTGGGGGGGGGGGGGTTTACACCACCACCCCAAGCAACCCCTGAGACGTTCTTCAAAAACTGGAATCTTAATGCCTGCCCCCATTTTCTTCAGTCCTGGACTTGAACAGTAATTAAAATAAAACTGTCTCTGGTATAAAGAACTGAGACGCTGGGGACAACCCGGGGACAAGACACTTTCCCCAGTCCCTGAGAAAGAGAGCCGGTCCTATAACCAGGTCTAGTCGTCTTCCAGCCTTTGTCTCATGACTAAATTGTAAGTCAGTTACGAGGAACTGGAGTCTTTCTCTCCCCAGTTTTGGCTAAACTGGAAGTAAATCTATTTTTATCAGTTCCGTTTTCTAGTTTCTTTGGAAACACAGGGAAGGCAGGTGGCTGTTTATGGACCAGAGTGTCTGGTGACAGTTACTCTGGAGGTTAAGGATGTAGAAAGAGCTGTCCTTCTAAAGGGACTCAGGTGGGGAGTAGCCGTTCAGTAACTCTCAAGTCACCTTGTCTGTGGCCCAGTTCCCAGGATGTCCTGAAGTCCCCCCAGCCCAGCCCACCTTGGATTTCCAGTACAGCCCTCCTGTTGCTTACCGGATTTTCATGCCACAGAGCCCCAGGTGGGAGGCCAGTCTGCGCCAGTCATTCCCAGTGACACTGTTGGGCTCCAGTAACATCTGCAGCTGCTCAAAGAGCTCCGGGGGCAGCCTGAGGCAGGGAACACGGTGTAAACCAAAGGAAGGCTCAGACACCAAAGGCTGGCTGAAAGCTCAATCTGTGGCCACACAATCTCGAGGTCCTGAGTTCAATACCCAGCACCCACATAAAAAGCCAGTGTGGTAGCATGCACGTGTGACCCTAGCATGGAAGAGAGGGGGACAGGCAGATTCCTGGGACTTGCTGGCCATCCAGAGCTCCAAAGTTCCAATGAGAGACTTTATCTCAAAACAAGATGATGGCTCCTGAGGAACAGTACCCAAGGTTCACCTCTGGCCTCCATTTGCATGTACACATGTGCTTGCACACACCCGCATACATGAACACACACACATGCACACACACGAGGGGACTCAGTCATTCTCCAGTCTCTTTACCTGCTGAGGCAGGATTGACAAACACCCCCAGACAACAGCAAGCCACCTTCACCTCACCTATTGCACGGGGGTGGCTTAGAGACAGGAGGCGGTGCCGCCCAGGACTCTTCCTCTGACGCCTGGAATCTGAGGATCTCCATGTACTTGGTTTCCAAGCCCTGGATCACCAAGAGGGACAGAGAACACACGCACAGGTCATGAGAAACTCCTCCCTCAAGGGGCCCCACTGTTTTCCTCGTGGCTCTCCTACCCGTCACAGGCCTGTCACCAGAAGATACAGCCCCCACCCCACCCAGGACCATGGACCCTCTGCCTCCAGACCCCAGAACCCGACAATCAGGCTTAGATTTGCCCCTAAGAATGATAAAAACCACACAGGGGGCATCCTAAGCTGGCGGAAGGCACCAGCAAGACACGGGACACTGCCCAGTAACAGAGAAACTGACCTCCAACTGTCCTCCCCAAATGACAGTGTGTGGCGTCTGCCCCCATCCTGCGAGATGCTACTTTGGTTTTCCAAAGACTCTCAAACCTGACATGTTTGTCTCTTCCCTGTGGCTGTGGGAGGGAGGGAGGGAGGAGGAGACAGCTAACCCTTTCCACCTGCTCAAGTCCGGCTTCCTAGTCATCCCCACTGAAGATAGATGGGGACAGTCACCTTGGAGGAGGCCAGGTCTTCCAGATGCCCTAGCTGTCCTGAGCTGGGAGAAAGAGATAATGTAGATTTGAATCGTTTAACTTTCTGATGCTTCCATCCATCCATAAAGAGGGCTCAGGGATGGAGGATAACTCGGGGCCAGCCGGTCTAAGTCCCTTAAAGATCTGGCGTGGTAGCTCACGGCAAATGCTCTCTTTAGCTACTTTGTTTTGTAATCAGGTCCCTGACCACTGTGAACTGGACCCAGCTCCCTGGCCCAGACAGCTCCCTGGCCCAGACTTTCCTCAGGTCCAACCCTCCCTCCATGCTTCTGCACAACTCACATCCTGGAAGGTATGCATGGTGACAATGATCTCATTGGTCAATGCCGAGCAGTCTTGATTCTCATTGGCTACAAAGAGAAGCAAAATGGGTGAGCCAGGAAAGGACTCGGGGAGGAGCAGAGGGTGGGGCTGGAGAGTAGGGTGGCAGGGAGGGAGAGCAAGAAATGTGCAGGGCTCCAGGCCATACCTGCCTTTCTCCGGAAGCAGAAAGAACGGAAGGGGCACTTTCCATGCCAGATATGAAGATGGGGAACGAGCTGGCGGCTACTGTCATCCACATTTTCCCAGCCTGGGGAGAGGACGGAAGCGGAAGTCCTTAGAGTACAAGGCCTTCTGCAAGTCTTTCAGAGGTTGTGGAGAGGCGTCAGGATGGCAAAAGGCCAATGAAGATACAAGAGCTTGAGTGGGCACCTCAAACTGGCCTGGTTTCTATGCTTGTATTTCTGTAACACACACACACACACACACACACACACACACACACACACACACACACACACCTTCATCAGTCTCTTTTCCTCTACCCCCACCTCTTAAAGCAGCTGTATTCCCCAGAAATGTTCCTACCCACAACCACACAGAGGATTCCAGAAACACCGTCAGCAGCCCTAGCCTTAAGAAGGGCCCCAGCAGGCAGACAAACTCAGAACACAATTCCCAATCTGAGGTTCCTCTCGCTTCCAGCCTCCCGCCTCTCATCCTTCCATTCCAGGATGACTGGCGAGGGCTGAGTGGGAGACAGAGGAACATGAACAAAGCCAGAAGGTCCTTTCAAGGCTGTTGGTCCAAGAACCCAAGAACCAGGTCCAAGAAATAAAGTTGGGGTTTCTAGATTTCCTGGAAGGCCAGAGGGGAGCCCTGAACCCTCCTCCCTCCCATGGAGCTTTCTATCCCTCACCCCCTGGGGCCCACCTCACCCTCAGAGATGTACTTGAGCATCAGGCACTGGTCTGCTCTGGCCCCAGTGAAGTCGAAGAGCTGGCAGGGCCCACGCATGCGTCCGCCATGGGGCTGTTCATTGGTGATAGCCCACTGCAGGGCACAGGGGGTATTGTTCAGGAAATAGACACGCAGCTGCAGGTGGGTCTGCCCCGGCGCCAGTGGGGAGCAGAACACTGCCAGCTGCAGCCACTTGCGGGCTGTCTGGCCCAGGGGTGCCTCCAGAACACAGGTGTAGAGGCTGTGGAGGGAGATGGTGACAGACACCCACGCATAAGCACCAAAAAGGCAGGATCCCGAGGTGCCTACCACCATGCTCCTGTCACCTGCGGGGTCTCTAAGTGGGTGAGGAGAGCACTCCAAACAGGCAAAGGAGGAGGACCCGGTGAGAGACAGAGTGTCTTAAAGGGCCAGGAAGCGAATGGGCCATGATGACCGTGATGCTAATACTGTCAACTAGACAGGATCTGAATCACCATGGACACAAATCTCTGGGCACATCAGTGAGAGAGTTTCTCACGTGAGTTATTGAGGTGGGAAGACCCACCCCAACAGGCGGGATGGGGTTCTGGACTGAGGGAAAGACAAATGGAGCAGCAACAGCCGTCTCTTTCCCTGGTGTTTGACTGAAGAGCAGTATGACCAGCTGCCTCAAGCCCCTGCCTCCGTGATTAACTGTACCCTTGAAATGTGAGCCCAAGTGAGCCCTTCCTCTGTCAGCATCTGTCATGGCAGTGAGACAGTGACTAAGACCGTGACTGCTACCTACTGGAGAGGCAAGCCAGCGTGCATTACCTGGCAGCAGAGACTAATCACGGGGTCCCCAAGATTTGAAGGGGTCCTGCACATGGTCCTCCTGGGGGGTCAATGGATGACAAGAAAACTGGGAAGCAGGGGACCTAAGACCCTAAGGGATGGAGAACAGGCATGACAGGAGCCCCTCCTGAAGAGTTCAGGGGCAGTGCTGGAGTGCAGCACAGGTTAGAGGGGGGCAGCTAGAAAAGATGGGTGTGGAGATGGGACACACTCGCTGCAGGCGTGTCCGACCTTTCGACACTGGGGCACAATGATGTCACACTCAAGAACCATGCAATTAAGTTGCAAAAAAATATATATCTCAATATGTTTTAAACAAGTCTACAGCTGTATGTTGAGCCTTGTTCTTGGCTGTTTGGGCCGGGTGGGGCCTGTGGACTGTGGGTTGCACATGCCTGCTAGACAGAGGGATGAGTTGAACCAGCTGTCTCCAGACAGGCAGAGACGTCAACGGGGCAGAGTCTCAGATGGGGTTCCGATGACAGAGGGACTGCCATGGGCATTAGAACAGCAGGCCCAGAGAGGGACACAAAGGTCCTAACAGACTGTCAAAGGATCCTAGATGAATAATAGGGCAGGCAGTTCTAACACAAAGATAAGGAGCTAGAAGAGAGGGAGGGAGGCACGGAGCAGGAGGACAGGCCGAGGGACAAGGCCTACCTGAAGTGAGAGAGCAGGATACGACACTCATCCCGGGAGGTATAAGCCCCCGGCCGACCCAGAGGCCTCCAGTGCTTGGCGTCCAGCAAGGAAGTGTTGCTGCTGTAGGCACAGGCCTGACTGGGCTGCTGGGCACAGTGCTTGAATGTGAGGGTGCAAGGCTTCAGGAAAGAGGCCCCATGAGGGCCACATGCCACCACAGGACTCACGAGTCCCTGTCTGTGAGACAAAGAAGGGGCGTCTGTCAGGTCCCACACCAGAACCAAGGACACTCTCTCCTGGCGACCCACCGCCACAGCACCTGGAGGGACAAAGGGCTGAGATTAGTCTAGCAAGTAGGAATGTTCTGCCCCTTGAAGGATGCCAGGCAGAGTGGGCAGGGAATCTGAGCCCAAAGCCCAGGACTGAGAGTGCCCAGCAGAACACTGAGAGGCTGTGTGGAATAAGGAAGTCCACCGTGAGCTGACTTAGGGTTCAGTTCTAAAGCAGTCCACCATTTCCTTCCAGGGCCACAGCCACTTGTATGGGGACTTGTATGACTTTACACATGACAGTCTTCCTTCCTTTGTTAGGAAAATTGTTACAGCAGGCTGTCTTAGAGCAAGGCATTCTACTTCCACCTGCAGAGAAGCTGTCCCAAAAGATGTGTGGAGACTCATCTTTGGAGAATCCAACTTTGGAATCCAAAAAAGCTAAACTATAAATACAGTTTTCCAAATTCCAAAGTTATCTGTGGGTGGAGCTCAAATGGGGTACCCTCCCTTGCTGCCTGAAGAACTCTGCCAAGAAGGATGCTGGGAGTGGTTACCTGGTGGGATGAGCAGAGAAATGCCTGTGTTGTGCAGCATCAGGCATCCACCGCGGTGATCCACCTCTCGAGCAGAATACACCAGTAGCTTATGCATCAGCTGGCGCGTGATGGTCTGGCCCCGGGTGGGCGTGTGCAGTTCCTGGTAGAATGCAGCCACCTCCGGTAGTGTGGAGGGTGGGCTCTGCCTTGGGAGCTCATACTCTGGTGACGGAGTGGGTGGGGACACTGTTTCCTCCTGGTCATCTGGCTTCTGGCAGGCCTCTGGCAGCCACCGAGAACAGTGCCGTCGAAGGCACTGAACCAGAAGGAAAGCGCTGGCCACAGGGATCCCCACCAACAGGAGGAATTGGAAAGGGTGGACAGAACTCTCCTGGGGGCTCATCCGCCTGGTCACTCCTGCACCCCTGCACCAACCAAGGCCAAGGGCCTGAGGGGAAAGTGGGTAGAGACAGAAGGGCTGGGCTAAGTCTTTAATTTGTTGAGGCTGAGGCTTCGATCCCCTAGATGGATACTCCCCCCTTTTTCCCCTCCTCCCCCATGCAGGCAGGCACATGAGCATGCGCGCACACACACACACACGCAAACAGAAGAACCCTCCTGAGCTAGGCATGGTGGTACACATCTATAAGTCCAGCCCTTGGAAGGCAGGAAGATTTGAAGTTCAAGGCCAACCTGAGATACAAACTGAGACACTGTCTCAAAAATAAAGAGCTTCCCACACTTCTCCACAACCTAGTTACAGCTAAGTAAATGCAAATGCATAAAGAACTTGTATTCTGAGGTAGAGGACATGAGTTCAAAGCCATGTTGACCACTGCACGTGTTAGGATTGTCATAGGCTTGATTTACCTCAGTGTCCTCATTCGTCCAAATAACTACTTTTGAGTCAGATACACACCTGTGATCCTCGCACTCAGGAGGGTCCTGAACTGGAAGCCATCTTGGGCGACATAGCATCTCAAAAACAAAATTTACCTTTATGAGCACTCATAAAAAAAAAAAAAATCTGTAAGGAAAAAAAAGCCCCTCCAATCTCATTGATATAAAGTCCATGTATAGGCTGAGGGCAGAGTGCTCTGATGCACAGGGCCCTGGGTTTGAGTGTGAGCAACAAGTGAAGAAAGTATACTGTGAGCACGAGAGAGAGAGAGAGAGAGAGAGAGAGAGAGAGAGAGAGAGAGAGGAGAGTAAATTATAGAAGTGTCTTCAGTAGTGGTATGTCATAAACACACAAGTCAATTATGTAATTTGACCTATTTTATTGGTCACATTACGAAGTAATAGTGGGGCTGGAGAAGTAGATGGCTGAATGGTTAAATGTGTCTACTGCCCTTGCAGATCGGAGATTCAGACCCCAGCATCCATGTTGGGTGTCTCACATCTGCCGGTCACTCCTGCTCCATGGGATGCAACACCCTCTTCTGGCCTCTGCGGGAACCCACCACAGGCATACACTCACACAGACATACACATACATACACATAAGGAATACCAAAATAAATATTTTTAAATAATAATATTTGTATTTAATCCAACACATTCAAAACATTATTTTGGCAGGCAGTGGGTGTGAACTCGTTAGTGAACTATTTCCCTTTGCACTTAGGGCGCAGCTCGGCTGTTCACACTCTCAGTTCTGTGATGGCTCGTGTCTTAGTGGAAGTCTGGAAGGATATATTCCCAACCTGTTCTAGTGATCACCACTGAAAGTCGCCACAACTGGAGAACACAGGAATGAATCTGGCAGTCTCTGCATTACTTGGAGTTTTCACAGCAAGCATGTCCTTTGCATGAACTTTAGAGTTGTGTGTGTACATGTCTGTGTATGTGGGTGTGCATACATGTGGAAGTCTGATGTCAGCTTTGGATATCATTCCTCAGGAGCCATCTACCTTGGGTTTTTTTTTTTAGATTTACTTTTATCATTTTAAATTACATAAAGGTGTGTGTGTGTGTGTGTGTGTGTGTGTGTGTGTGTGTGTGTGTGTAGGTATGTGCACATGAGTACAGTTTCCACAGAAACCAGAGGCATCAGATTCCCCTGGAGCTAGAGTCGAAGGCAGTTGTGTGCTGCGTGACGTGGGTGCTGGGAACCAAACTCCCATCCTCTGGAAGATTAGCAAGTGCTCTTAACCACTGAGCCACCTCTCCAGCCCCCACCTGGTTTATTTGTTGGTTTGGTTGGTTGGGTTGGTTTGGGCTGGTTTGTTTTTGCTTTGTTTTGTTTCTTTCTTTGTGTTTTGAGACAGGGTCTCTCACTAGGACTTGGTGCTCACCCAGGAGGCTTGGATGGCTGGCCAGTGAGACCCAGGGATCCACTTATCTCTGTCTCCTCAGTGCCAAGATTATTAATGCAAGCCACTACGCCCACATTTTCACATGGGTCCTGAGGACCCAACTCAGTTCTCATGCTTACATAGGAAGCATGCTATCAGTCAAGCCATGTCCCTGGTCCTTGGGGGTTGTGGGGGGGGGGGGGCGCGGGGTGTTGAGTCCTAGGGCTTTGCATTTCTTAACCTAGGGTGGCATGAGATCATGTGAGAAGCACCTGAGATGATAAAGCACTATCCAAATGTGTGTTTATTTATGCCCCTCCTCCTGCCATAAAAGTCCGAAGGTAGCTCCCAGGCATACATCCAGTACAACATGATCAGCAAAAGTTAAAAGTGGAAGCAAAAATAGAGAGAAAAAGAGGAAGAAGGAAAAAAAAGTGGGACCTACAGAGAGGCTGAAATGAGGCAGGCCAAAAGCACATGCTCACTGAGGGCTCACCTGATTACCTGGCAGTGGCAGCCATTAGAAATTCAGAAATTTCTAGCAACCTCCAGGATGCATGTCAGCTTTCCCTGAATCTGCTTCCACCCCCTTGTACTTCCTCCTTGAGCCTGTCCTGCTAACTCCCAACACCCACACATGCTGGTGGAGCCGGGCTCCCCATTCCCTGCACATTCTGGCCCCTGGCTGTGGCTCTCCGCAGCCCTGGTGATGCCCCAGCCCTTGACTGGCTCACAGCCTCTCCGACGTCAATCTATCTCTTCCTTATATGCTGTCCCACAGCGTTCTCACTCAAATGAGTGTTTTCTGATCTCCAGCTGCATACCAGGCACCATGGGAGGCTCCAGAAGTGAGAAGATGTCTTGTTCAGCCCTGGAGGAGCTGCTGAGGGAATGCAGTTCCTCCACTTGACAGCTGGATTCCTCCAGGCGTGATGTCCTCCTTCTAAGGAAGCCTCGTAACTCATGAGTTCTGCACTAACTGAAAAAGCTCCCAGGATCGCCCTCCTCCTCAGCAGTCAGCGGCAGCTAAGCTTCAACACTTCTTTCGCTCCTGAAGACCTTCAAAGACTTCACTCCCTTCCAGGCCCTGCCAGACAGGCAGCCGCTCCCCTGCATCATCACCATTGGAGGTCAGGGAGGGACCTGTTTCCCCTGTGTCCCCCCTGAATTGTGCACAGGAGATGGGACACTGTTCACTTTATCTTGAAACACAACCTTGAGGCCAGAGCCTCAACCTTCTTTAGCCAGGCCACTGCAGGGCCACTGTGAATCAGGCAGTGGAGGAAGGAAGCTGAGTTGGGTAAGGAAGCCAGCTCCCCCGTGAGCCTCCTGATCTCCTTTGCTGCTTTCACTGTTAATAATATTACAGCTACTCAAAACTGTAATGGTAATGGCCGGACTCACACGTGTCGGACTCACACGTGTCTCCGTGTCACGGGTAAGGAAGCTGAGTTTTCTGCCCGCTGCAGGGACGGAGGGAGGATTCTTCAGTAGGAACTGAAGATGTGCAGAGGTGATGAGTTCAGGGTGCCCTCCCCCTCGGGCTTACCCCACTCCTCCTTTGCTCCCAGGTCTCTCCGGTCCCACTTCTGGAGAGAATGGCGTCGGACAGAAAAGGAGCAAATGTGAAGAAAGATGGTTCTGCTCTGTGATAACAGAACTTGGGAGGCTGAGGCAGGAAGGTTGAGAGTTTAAAGACATAGAGTGAGACTCTGTCTCAAAGGAAAAGAGGGAGGGAGGGGAGGGGAGGGGAGGGGAGAGGGAGGAAGGGGAGAGGGAGGAAGGGGTGAGGAAAGGGAGGGTGGGGAGAGGGAGGGAGGGAAGGAGGGAGAAGAAAGAAAGGGACTAGAGATGGCTCAGTGGTTAAGAACACTGGCTTTCAGAAGGCCTGAGTTTGAGTCCTGCACCCACATGGTGTTTACAACCATCTGAACTCCAGTCCCAAATGATCGGATGCCCTCTTGTGGCCTCTGTGGGCACTACATGATCATGGTGCACAGCTACACACGCAGGCAAAATACTATACACATAAAACAGAAATAAATAAGTAAAAACAGGAAAGAGGGAAAATAGGTGGAGGGGGGAGGAGGAGAAGAGGTGAACGGGAAGAGGTGAAGGGGGAGAAGGAAGAGGAGGAGGAACCAAAGGAAGTTAAAAAGGAATAAAGGCATCTCGGGGTTCCATGACATTTATGCCCTGCCCGCCAAAGTTCCAGTGGCAGGGATGGCTGAGAATAAAATGAGAGGGTGACGGCTTTCTTGGGGCCTCTAAAGACCAGAGTTCAAACCCCCTCCACCCCATCTGGCCAGGTCCCCTTGCCCAGGGGCCCTACCGGGACAGTCAGTACACAGCACTCCACAGCACCCAGGGCCTCAAGGGAGCCTGTTCATCCCTCTGGCCTGCAGCAGCTCAACTCCTTCTAGAGCGAGCCTGGAGCCCCTGACCACTCTTCCAGACTCCCTTGGCCTTCACCCAACCTCTGATCCCAAGAAGGGAAAGGAACCAAAGTTTAGGGGAGTCGCCTGAAGTACTGCAAGTTCACTGTTCTGCAATCCCAACTCCTCAGAATCCAGTTCTTCCAACTTGTCTGTCTCAAGTCCAGAGCATTCTGGGTAGCACTTCCCCGAAACAAGGGACGTTAGAATATTATCATCACCTGTCCTGAGAACAAAGATCCAGAACCCTCCTGCAAAGGTCCGTTCAGATCCTGTAGACACTCAGCCCTCCCCACCTCACTGCTTCTCACCATATCACCTGATAAACCGGGCTTGGTGGCACAAGCCAGTGAGTGACCCCAGCTACTCAGGAGGCTGAAGGAGGAGGGTCACAAATTCAAAGTTGTCCTGAGCATACAGAGAGTTCAAGGCCATCCTGGGCAATGCAGTAAGAGTCTGTCTTAAAAAGTAAGGACCCAGCATTGGGGGAGGGGGCAGGGGCAGGGGCATACCTTTAATCTCAGCACCTGGGAGGCAGAGGCAGACAGATCTCTGTGAGTTTGAGGTCAACCTGGTAGTGAGCTCCAGGCCAGCCTGAGCTACATAGCGAGACCCTGTCTCAAACAAACAAACAAACAAACAAACAAAAATAAAAAGTGAAAGAGTACTGG